TTTGGACCAAGCCTATTTACTTTATACACAAGTACACAGGCACCCCAAATTAATTTATCAGGCTGGATCTTCACATCTTATGGAACTGACAAATTCCCAGGTTGTCCCTGAAAAAGACACATATCCAAGAGCTAAAAGTGTTTTCTCTACTATGTCTGAGGATATGAGCTGAGCTGAGTCCTTAGCAAGGCCCCTACAGTCAGGCAGCTCTCATCTCTCGCGACGCTCAAGGACTCTCCAGGCTAGGACGGAGCAGAGCTCCACACCATGGAGGCCGGCCCTCAGTACCATGCCTGCCACAGAAGGTGGCCTCAGTCTCTCTATGGCTTCCATGTGTGAGAGGCTCGGGGTCAGCAGACACGGTCCAAAAGCATTAGACCTACCATAATCAGGAGGAAGGAAATTCTGACACCAACCCAGATGATCTTTCAGGACCTTACGCTGAGTGAAATACGCCAGTCACAAAGGACAAACACTGCACGATCCCATTTATGTGAGGTGCTGGAGGAGTCAAATTCAGAGCCAGAGAGTAGCATGGGGGTTTCCAGGGGCTGGGGAAGGGAGTTATAGTTCAATGGGTGCACAGTTCAGTTAGCAAATCAAAAAGGGTCCTGGAGAGGGACGGTGGTGGTGGTTGTGCAACAATGTGAATGTACTTAATGCCACTGAACTGCACACTTAAAAACGATTAAGATGGTGAACTTCCTGTGTACTTACCACAGTTAAAAACATTCTAACAAAGCATTTGATGAGCTTTTTGCCTTGGAGAGCAGGCCTGTGAGAATCCCAAAGCCTCACGGCCTGGCCTGCTCCACCCCAAGCTCCCGGAGCTCCCATTCTCCTTCTAGACCTGGAGCTCTTCCCAAGAGCCTTCTAGTGACATCTGGTGACATCCACACCTCAGCCTGACATCAGTCCCCAAAAACTCAGTGGCAGAATTACGTAAAATCATGGGCAGCATTTTATAGGCAGAGAAACAAAGGCAGAGGACAGAGGCAGCAATCCAGGTTTCTAGATTGTTGCTTCATCCACTCCTGAAAAAACAGGGGCCCAGCCAAACCTCTCAGGCTCTTACTTGTCTGTGAGGCAGCCTGGACCCCATCTCACCTCAGCCTGCATTTGAAAAATTTCTTTTCCTTTTTCGGGAAATTTGCCTCTCTTCCACACCCACCAGTTACAGGGTACGTGGGTGTATCAAGAAAGAAATTTCCCAAAAAAGGAAAAGCGATTCCCCAAAGTAAGTCCCATCTCAGGGCTGCCTGGAGAGGCAATGGTCAGCCTCCGGAACTGGATGAGGTCCAGCAGCCCCAGCCCCTGCAGAAGTCCCCGAGCAGAAAGGGCTTCCTGAAGCCACTGTCCCCAGATCCAGGGACTGCTGCCTTCCTCCTCCTCCTGCACGCTGTGACCTCCTGATGTCCATCTTCCTCTCCAGGTCCCAACGCAGTGGGGCTGAGGTAACTGAATTTTCCCCATCCCAGTTCTCTGGAGCTCTTGGGAGGTTTTCTCCCTTCTGCTGAGTAATCCCTAAGGGTCACTACATCCGTAATCTCCCTCCGAGGAACACCCCTTATCCTATCTTCTCTCTTTTCCTACCTACCCTCTGTCTTAAGGTTTTCAAGCTGGGAGCAGAAATTATGCAGCAAGGCATTTACAAAGTTGGTAGTTCAACTCCACAAACATTTACCAAACACCTGGCTAGATTTGTGCCGCCCAAACCCCATGCTAGACAACGGGGAGAAACACCAAGAATTATCAGGGGCCCATCCACAACAACAACAACAACAACAAGAAGTCAGTTTAGTTGGCAAGATAACACTCAAATGAAATCAAACGGTAACACTGTATAAATGTCAGCAACAATTCGAAACAGACGGTGACTGAGTGTGGAGGGCACAGACCAGCCATAAAATGCTACAGTTTATTATGTGAGCCTGGGAGGGTCAGAGGTGGCCAGGGGCTGCTCAGAGCTGCTGCTTTTGAAGACAAATGCTGAGGTAGGGCTTGCTTTGCAACATCGTGGTCTGAGGGCACCATGCAGGGAGTGCCACCTATGTCTTCCCTGGTATACACACACACACACACACACACACACACACACACACACAAGCAGTTCTGCAGGCCCTGTGGTTTGCCTGGTGTGCAGGAGCACCCCACAGACCTCTCCAGATCAGAAACAGGCCCACCCCATTCCACGACTGGCACTGCACCATCAGCAAGCTGACTCTGCGCCATCATCCCCCTCACTCCCAGGAAATCTGACAGGTGAGCCCTGCGCTGTTTAAGAGCAGAGCTAATAGCAAATCACATTTACATTTTCATTTTTAAAAATAAATAAGAATTTAAATAAACCCTTGTCAAAATTGCTCAGTTTCTTGGCCTTGACACTGTGGACATTTTGGGCTGGAGCCTTCTTCGTTCTGGGGGCTGTTCAGTGGAGGAGATTCAGCAGCATCCCTGGCCTCCACCCACTAGATGCCAGCAGCAGCCCTGCCCCAGTTGTGACAATCAAGGATGACTCCAGAAATGGCCAGTGGCCCTGGGAGGCACGACGCTGAGGACCACTGGTCTATTTCCAGGCACTCACAAAGGAAGCTTCCAGCTTGGCTTGAGTTCACCCACACATGAGCCTGCCTGAAATGGAGTTTTCCTGCTCCAGGTCTCAGGATCCTGCCAGCCTGTTTTGGGTGGGACTCTCAGCTCAGGGTGGCTGACCGTTAAACTGGAGCTCCTGGGCCACGGGCTGTCTGCTCACCTTGGGGAGTGGCTCTGAGGAACAAACCCTGATGCAGAGCACTGGGTGCTGGAGAAATCCTTCCAGCCTCTGCCTCCTCCCACCTGGCTTCTACCCAACTGCCTCCTTGCCACCTTCTCCTGTGACCTTCCAGATACAACAGGGAAACCCCTCCATGGCCTCGACTAGGCAGAGCAGTATTTACTAATGGGCTCACTGGGTCAGTCTCTCCAGCTCCCAGGTCATCTGCCAGAAAGCAGCCCATGGCCCAAAACTCCCAGCTCTGGGCCTGCCCCCATGCCCTCGCTCAGTCCAAGTTTTCCCTGGGGCTTCTTTCTTTCCCCACATCCCTGGCACAGTCCCACCTCTGCCTGAGCACTCCATGAAATAATACGCAACTCATATCCAGGTTGCTGGGAAACCAGTGTCGGTGCTCCTGGCTAGGCGGCCTCAATTATCCAGAAGCCACGCCTGGGAGGCAGCATGTGCTCTGCACTTGTGTCAGCACCAAGGCGTCCCCAGGAGCTACTCTCTTTGTGCTTGTGCAACTGAGCCAGAGGGAATAACGGATTTTGCTTGACTTTAGTTAGACCTAAAGAAAGATTTCCTGACCGAAATGATCAGTCCCCAAGGAAACAGTGCAGGGAGCTCTGTTTTTTTGGGATGGTTCATGACCCAGCCCAGCCTGAATGTAATCCAGTGACCTCTTGAGGCTCCTCTGATACTGCTGAGTCAACTGCAGGACTTAGCCAGTCAGCCAGCCACAGGGAGGCAAGGTAAACCTCACAGCTGCAGGAGCCCAGCTGACTCCAGGGCTACTCCCTGTGTAAGGGCTAAGCCAGGAGAACAAGAAAGTGTGAAGTCTATCCTCCAGGTCTGCTTTCTTGCCTCAAAGGAATGGAGTGTCCAAATGCATTGTCTCCCTGCTCCTACTTCCAGCCAAGTCCACCATCGGTGCTCACCTCTAATCCACTACCCTGGAGCACAGATGTTCCCACAGCAAAAACCCCCTATGCTCTAATCATGATGTACAAATATGCTCACCAGAAAGAATGAAAAGGAAGACAACTCTTTTTAAGAAGGAACCAGTGAGGTGACAGTTGATACAGGATTACAGTATCATCCTCTTAATTCACCCCAGAAACAAAAGTAGAAAAAGTATCACATCACAAAGGTTAGGACTGGAGTACAAACACACCCACTTCTGGTCTTTGCACGTGTGAGCTGTAATGACTACCCAAAAATCCCAGGCGCCCCCCCCCCCAACCCCCTCCCGCAGTCTGGAAGGTCCCTAGAGGGCACAGTTATCTCCACTCATACTTACAGAGTCTGTCTCGCCCCTGCAGCAAAGAAACGAACTCTGGGTAGGATAGGCAGGGGCCGCCTATTTCATAGTGAGACCAGACTTTCCAGGACAGTCCCAATTTTACAATGCTGTACATATGTGCATACAAACATTCACCCACCAAGTAGAACTGGAAAAGGCAATCAAATCTCCCGTCTTCAACCCTTTACAAAGTTTGGAATGCAGTCCTGCTTTAGATTAATTAGGACAGACTAATCTCCTTTACAGAAAAAGTCAGGAGATAAAATGGGTAGAAAAAGAAAAGCCAGAAATTCCACCTAGTTGATTTTCAGGTTTGGCCTCTGGGGCAACAGCAGCAAACACTCATCCAGCCCAGTTAGTAGGTGGAAAACCAGGGAGGTGGGGAGCAGGAAGGAGCCTGTCTGCCTGGTTTAGTGACCAGAAGAACGCTGACCCTGTGACCAGGAGGCCTCTGAAGTCAGCTCAGAAAACTATGCCAAGCTCAAATGAGACAAGCAAAACCAATTACAGTCTCAGAACTGACAGGCAGCCCCAGGACTAGGCACGTGAGGACATGTGCCAGCCCCAGGGCCAGCCCCCGCCCCACACCCACAGGTCCACAGCCTGCAAACGTCCTCACTGTGACCCAGGACTTTGCCCCCGCTTTTCCCTAACCAGGAGTGCTCCAGCCAAGTCCACACTATTAGCCTTGAACAGAAATGACTTCCTCCCTTACTTCTTCCTCTCATTCAAGACCACAGAAGATGATGCTTCAAACCAAAGGTCTGGGTTTTTAAAGCTGTCTCCAGCAGGTGCCACAAATTCTTCAAAACATTCCACACTCCCAAACAGACACAAGTGAGAGCACACAGCTGCTGTGCTCTCACACAACAACGCAAGGGCACTGTAATGGAGGGACTTGGTGAAGGCTGGGGACAGGGAGTAGGCAAAGATAACACTTACCATCTCATCCAGGGCGTAGCGCAAGAGGCCGTGCTCGTAAAGGATGAAGAACCGTCGCTGCCATTTCTGCAACGGAGCACAAGGAGGGTAGTTAGGAGGATCTGGGTCCTGGCCCCAGAGCTTGGCTTCTGGAGTTCCCGTGTCTGACAAGCCCGTATCTAAGGAAGGTGGCTCCACAGATTCCACTTCTGGGGCAGGTGGCAGGAAAAGAGGGACCCGAGGTATAAGAATGTTGATTCATCAGCCAGGGCTGGGCTGGGAGAAAGGCCCCAATCACATGAGTGATTGAGGCTTAACAAGAAGCTTTTTTTTTTTTTTAAACATTTGGAAGCTCCTCAGGAGCAGAAACAATGTGTGGTTACCTTTTTGTATTTCTGATGGTGCCCAGCACAGAATGCATCACATGATACGTGTCAATATTTATTTGATGAATGATCTGACATGACATGGAATAATCCAGGAATGCCAAGGCACGGATTCACCACTTGTGAAAAAAATCTGGGAAACTGCTACAAAAAGGGTTGTTCTGATGATCCACTGGCAAAGAGGAGGCACGAAAACAGCCAGACTCCAGAATTCACTGAGGTGAAATGAGCTAATGAAAATCAAAACAGAGGAGCAGCAAGACCAGTGGAAATAACTCCAATATCCAAGGAGTGATCAAATGGCACAGAGCGTCCCCCGCTCTACTCTCCCTCCAAAAGCCAGACCACTGGGAAATGCCCACAGTGGTCAGATGCCACCAGGAGCTGAAATGAAAAGGACTATGAGGTATATGTCTTCCTCTGTGTGGGGAGAAGGGCTTTGTCCATAATGCGAGTCTGCTGGCCCAGGTCGTGAATGACAGGCACAGCTCCCAGCCCCAAATCATCACAAGGGTCCATGACCTATTTTCAACATTTCAACAAGCCCAACCCAGCCTGGGCAGCATGCTGAAAGCCTGTCTCTACAAAAAACACAAAAATTAGCTAGGCATGGTGATGCATGCCTGTAATCCCAGCTACTCAGGAGGCTGAGGTAAGAGGATCACACAAACCTGGGAGGTCGAGACTGCACTGAATCAAGATCACGCCACTGCACTCCAGCCTGGGCAACAGAGCAAGACTCTGTCTCCAAAAAAGGAAAGGGAAAGGGAAAGGGAAGGAAAGGAGCGGTAGCACTGTAAGAAAGTTTGTGAGGAAGGAGAGTTTTGTAACAGGAGGGGAGGGGAGGGCCCAACAATACTCAAAGTTTAACTGGCAGTAAGGCCACAAGAACTGACTATAAAAGCACATCTCTCTGCTTTGGGTCAGGGTTCTCATTTATAATAATGACTCCTGTCAGAGGCTGGAAATGGCAATTGTGTACAACCTCAATATAAAATAGGAAAGGGAACTACTCCCTGGAAACTGCAGTCCAGCTGGACCAGTTATTCCTGAGTCCTCCTGTGTGGGTGGCATGAACAGGGACTCAAAGGGCCTTGCAAAGAGGCCCTGTAGAGGGCTGGTCTATGCTGGGTGTGTAGAGGAGGCCACCTGAACATGTTTCCTAGGAACATTTCCAAGGGCCTTATGTGCTGCCTTTGAAATCAAAACCCATTATAGAAGAAATCCCAAAGACCAGAGACACAATGCAAGGCCTGTGGGACCAGAATACACAGCCCAAGGTCCCTACTCCAAAGTGTAATATTCAGGATGGGGAAGGGGTGGGCAGCAGAAACTAAGAAGAGGAAAAGGACCTCCCAGGGACGGAGGGGGCTGAGTAGAAGCAATTTATAGGGTGCGAGCGGCAGCACTTTAGTTTGTGAGGAAGGAGAGTTTTGTAACTGGAGTCAAATACAGAGGGGCTTCCTGGCAGAGAAACAAACCACAGGTCAGGCCAATGGTGGTACCAGCTCTAGCGGGGCCCCGCCCTGGGCAATGTACATTTTAGTAAGAGGTAAGCCAAGGCCTCTGGGCCCCCAACCCTTCACTAGTGCTAGTGTGCTGAACCCCTGGCTCACGAGGAAGAGAGGTACTACAGGGGCGGCCCTTGGCATGGAAGGAACTGGGAGCTGCTCGGCATAACGCAAACCTTTAACCACTCTTTTGCCTCTTCCATTTGACTGTTCCTACAGTCAAGCTGACCCATAAAACAGGCAACACCCACATGAGAGCTCCTCATTCTGAAGGGAGCACTACACATAACTACGTATAACTGAGACCTTTTCTGTACAACATACAAGTGCGCCAAATGGGGAAGCCCTGCTGATCCTGACATCCCAGGATCCACTGTTCAACTCTCCATCTCCCTCTTCCACTCTCCAGTTCACCCTTAGATGAGTCCCTTCTCTGGTTCGTCCCACCCCGAGAGTTGGCTCTGATGCGCTTACCCGAGACCGGTGCACCGGGTTGTCAAAGTCAGTCCCATCTGGAGCCAGGAGCAGCCAACCGCCATAAATGGGCTTTGCCTAGAGGAGAAAAAAGAGGGCAGGTCATCAGCGGCCTTCAACCCAGAAGAGAGAACAGGTCAAGTTAACAGCAAGCACTCGCTGGAAACAGACGTTGCCTCTGCTCTGCAGAGGTCGTAACGCTATTCCCACTGCAGTGCATCTGTGGCTGCTTGAGAGTCAGAGGCTGGTGGGGATTCTGCAGCATCCAGGGTGGAGAGCACACAGGCCCTGGCAGGAGTGTGAGAACTTGGAGAGTACAGGATCCCCTAAGACATGCTGTCTCCTGCAAGCTACTGATCAAGCCACCAAGATCAGGAAAAAATGACATTTTATTCAACAAATATGTAAGCGTCAATGTGTGCCAGGAGCCAGGAAATAGGACATGAACAACACAGTCAAAAAGCCTCATGCTGAAGACACAAAACAGGGCCTGAGAAGAGACTGCTTTTGTGATCAAAGCCAGCTCTGGCCAAAGAATGATCAACTGACTGGCTGTGTGGCTGCGTGCAGAAACCCTTTCAGTTCAAACTCTCCGATTTGAAAAGTGAGAGTGATGACAATTCTACCTAAACCTCATGACTCTGATGTGAGGACTGATGAGATAATGCAATCAGTAAAACCCAGCACAGGGATGTAAAACTGTGCTGCCACCTTGGAAAAGTCTGGCAGTTCCTCGGAAAGTTGAAGGCAGAGTTACCAGGGCCCAGCAATTTCACCCCTCTGTATACACACCCAAGAAAATGGAAAACAGGGGCTCAAAAACTTGCACATGAATGTTCATAGCAGTATTATTCACACTTGCCAAAAGGTGGTTAACAGCCCAAATATCCACGGACAGACGAATGGATGAACAAAGTTTGATGGATCCACATAAGGGAACATTATTCAGCCAGAAAAAGGGATGAAGCACTAACACATAACACCGAGGAACCCCGAAAACATGATGCTAAGTCAAAGAAGCCAGACACAAAAGCCCACATATTACAGAATTCCACTTACACAAATGGTCTAGAATAGGCAAATCCACAGCACAGAAAGCAGATTAGCGGTTGCTAGGGACTGGAGGAAAGGAAATAAGGAGAGACAGCTAGCAGGTATGGGGTTTCTTTCGTGGGTGACTAAAATGTTCTAGAATTAGACAGTGGAGATGGTTGCACAACATTGTAAATATGCTAAAACTCACCAAACTGTATACTTTAAGAGAGTGAATCCTAAGATAGGTGAATTATATCTCAATTTAAAAAGCTGCATGAGCACAAAGAACACTGAGCAGTGTCTGGCCTGTGAGGTCTCAACAAATGTGAGGCATTGCTTTATTTTACCATCCACAGAGTCCCCACTCCCCAAACCACGGGTAGGAGCACAACACGGGGATCTAGACAGACACTCTGGCTCCATCTCCTTCCTCAGCCACACCCAGCTGGCGAGAACGCACTGGAAAAGGTACAACCAGGCCCATTTATCCAGTCCCTTTCGGAGGGACGTAACACAAATTAAAACACAAGTTCTCTGACTGCTGCTTACACACGCAGGACCCCTCATGGGCCCTGCTGATGTGCTTTTTATTCAGTGCTCTCCAAACTAGGAGGCCCCACCACACTACCTCATTTGGTAGCTGCAGACTGTGAGTCAGAGAGGGCAGGCCACATGCCAGAGGCCACACAGCCTCCAGGCTGAACCAAGAACCCCTGTTTTCTTGGCTTCTTCTGCAGGGTCCTCAAGGTCCCCAGGAGCACTGGCTTTCCTCATGAATGGTGCAAGTGGAGCTGTGTGCCTGGGGTCGGGGGAAAGCTGCAAGGACAGGAGAGGCTTGCTTTGACACAACAGGGGATGGGTGTTGGCTGCAGACATAGTGCAGGAGGGCTAAAGGGTGTGTGGTGGAGATCCCACCTGGGAAGGCAGAAGCAAAGGCAAGGAGAGATCTGTGCTCTCTACAAACTCCAGCTGTGCCCAGCAAGCCTCCAGGTGGGCACACACACTTGGCGTCTCCACACCCCATCCAGAAGCACACATCCTAAGCAGACCCCACCCAGAGGCCTTGCACGGGAAAGCCAGAGTTGGACAACTCCCTGTGTGTATCTGGACTCTGTGACTCCCAGCTGGGCCTCTTGCCGGCCACAAGTGCCCACCTGTGAGGTCAGAGGCCAGCCTGCCTCTGGAGGCAGGGTTTGGGGTGTTGTCACATAATCAGCTACATTTACCCGACCTTTCTCTAGGAGGAACTGTGGGGAGCCGAGGGATCAGCATCTGTTCTCTCAAAACCCAAGCCCTGGTCTCAACCCAGACATCCTCAGCAAACCTCTGCTCAGGACCCCCGTGTGCATGGCCCTGGGTGCTGCACACCAGGGAGCCTGCAGCAGCCACCTTGCTGGGCTGTGACTTCCTGATACGGATCACCACAGAGGGGACTGATCCAGGTGGGCAGGTGGGGTGGACACAGAGCAGAGGGCGAGGTGCAGGGTCTCCGGGTGGAGGAGCAGGCTGAGACACAGGTGACACCTCATCCAGCATTCATCAAAGCAATTCCAGAGTGATGGAGTGCAGAGGAGTGGCTGCCTGGGGCTGGGGGCGGGGGGAGGGCGGAAGGATGGGGGTGACAGCCAAGGGGTGCAGGGTTTCTTTTGGGGATGATGAAATGTTCTAAAAGTGACTGTGATGATGGCTGCACATTTGTGGGAATATCCTAAAAATCATAGAACTGTATCATTTAAATGGGTTAAATGCATGATGTGTGAATTTCATCTTAACAAAACTGTTTAAAAAAGCCCTGAAGAAGGTAAGGACTCCATAGATACACGGGGAGATCTGGGGTGGAGAGGACTCTCCGGGCAGGGGCGTAGCTGACACACAGGTGCAGAGGCAGGAATGACGGAGCCATGGGGTCACAAGGAGCCATCTGTAATTACTGAGAACTCACTCCTCAAGCCCAGGGAGCCAGGGACAGGACCTGGCCAGCTATACCACCGCCACTCTTCCCTCTCACAGCCAGCCACATGGGCTGCGCAGCCTCTCCCAGCCTCCTCAGCTTCCCAAAACCTGGCCTTCTCTACCATCCCTCAGGGCTTCCTTGAAATGTCCTTTCCTCAAGGGGACAGTCCTGACCCTCCCCCTCAGTCTCTAATGACTCACTTCTGCCATTACCGTCATTGCATATCACAGAACTAATTTCTACCTACCATTTCATTACGTATATAATTACATTGCTATGACATGACTTGCCCCCCACCCCTACCCCAGAACCTTCACTCCAGGAAGGCAGGAATGGGGTCTGCCTGGCCCTGGCTGTGTCCTTGATCCTGAAGTAGGTGTGCAGAGGGAGTGGAGGTGAGTACCCGCTGGCCTAAGCCAGCAGTGGGTGCGTGGCGCCCTCTCTGAGCTTCCTTCTCCTTACATAACCTAGGTCCTGACTCAGACAACCTGTTCTCATCCCCCAGGCGTGGGAAAGGCCTCCCAGGAAGAGCTGCTGCTCCTCTATGTCTCAGACTATCTAAAAATGCTGCATCCTCCCCCACACAGCAGACCACAGTGTCTGCAAGTGCAGAAGTGCCCACGGGCAGAGGCTCCCACGCACGCCCACCTGCTCCTGGGGCAGCGCCTCTAAAAGGCCCTAAGGTATTCTCTTTCAGAGAGCCCTGTAATAATCTGAAACTGGGACACTAAAACAAAACAAACAGCCCAAAAGGCAGCGGGCAGCAGGGAGTGTGCTCTGGAAACACTGAGTGGGTAGGCTTAGCTTTGCTGCTTTCTGGTTGAGCTGGTGGGCCCTTTGGAGGGAGGCAGGAGAAGCAGGTATCTGTTGTTGACATGGGGGATCTGAGCTGGGCTGTAAGGACCCAAAGGATGGGGTCCGAGTCCTGTTTCAAGCAGTTCTGCACACAGGGCCCCTTTCTATGCAGGTCTTCCCAGAGGATGCATGTGGCTCTGGATCCCATATAAAAGTGACCACATGAGAGACTCCCCCGAGCTACCTCCTCTCCAATTAAACTCGGCCTTCACTCATGACCCACACAAGTTGGAGGCTCCACTTCTGGTTGGCCTCTAGGAAGAGACTGCTGGTGGTCTGGGTGTGCCTTCAACCTGAAGCTCTTTCAAAAATAGTGCCTTGAAACTTCTGTTTCCTGGACGATGGGGCAGATGTAGATTTCCCTATTCCTCCTGCTAAGTACAACCAAAAACCTGGGGCCATCATGTACAAGACAAACACAAGAAGACTCTGAAAGGTGGAGAAAAAAAGGCAGGTGGGCCAAGGACCCAGGACCTAAGGAGGGACACTGTGGCGACTCTCCCAGACTTTCTTTTTGTCTCACTATCCCGGAGTGGGTAGAGGAGAACTGGCAACCTGAAAATGCCAATGGGCACACAACCAAAAGAACCAACAAAAAGCTACTTTCCATAGCTGAAGAAACCAGAAAGGAGCAGCCCAGCAAGACACAAAACTCTTAGCCAAGAATTGCCCTACTATGGCCAAAAGCTATGGGAAAGCCATCATGCCACCCCAAGTGAGCAAAGGTTGGACTTCCACCTTTACGAGGTGCCCCACATCCCAGCCAGGGTGGCGCGAGAAGACACAAGGGCCTTACATCCCACCAACAGCAATGAGGACCCTTCCTGCTCCGTGCTAGTGTGTGTCAGAGGGTGCCCAGTGGAGGGTCAGGGTTTTTTACCACTGCCCAGTGGGAAGGCAACCCATGACGAGGAGCCTCCCAGTTCAGGCATCAGTGGAGGCCGAGGGGTGGACTTCTGTCTCCATCTGAGTAACTAGGTGGTCATGGTGACTCCCTTCCCCCACGGAAGCACTGTCAGAAAAACCCACTGAAATAGAAAGTTCAAATGAGACCCAGAGTCACCCAACAGAATACAAAAACACTTCATTTCCACCAAAAATTATCATCATACCAAGAACCAGGAAGGTCACAAACTGAATTAACAAAGACAACCAAGAAATGCCAACACCAAGATGACAGCCATGCTAGAATTATCCCACATTTAAAGATTTTAAAGCACCCATGATAAAATGC